AGATATGGTCATATATCAATTCAAATTTCCAATGGTGTTTGCAACCATAATTACCCATTTAAATACATCATAAAAGTCTTAAAATAGAAAATGACATACGTAATCATGGCTAAAATTGATATTCCTTAATCAGCATTTTTAAATAGTAACTTCTAAAAATAAATTGACAGCTAATCACCTCAAGACAATACAACATTTCTTTATACATAATTTAAAAGCAGTGTAAGGGAGGTAATCCAAACATAACATAGTACTTTTTTTCAATTGTCCATTAACCAGGAAACCCTTGTTTTCCCCCTTTTTTGCCCCTAATTCCAAAACGGTTTGAGCCATAACCCCCTAAAGCAAATCATAACCATCCCTTTGTGGTATGGAAACTTGTGGTATAATTTCAGAGAGATCCATACACATGTAGTTCCACAAGTTATTGTCTGGAAACTAGAAAAATTCATAAGGGTTCCAAGGAACCCAGTGTCTTGCCTACTTTTGCTGTTAGTCGCAGGCTCAACAAAAATGGGGAAAAAATTATTAAAAATTTTCCTCTAGATTCTATCTTTTGATTGTAAGAAGTTCTGTTCAAGTTTGGTAAAAATCCAAGAAGGTTTATGAATCTAATAAATGTTTTAAAAACTTAAACTGCAGACTGTACGTAATGTTAACTGGAATAAAACTAAGTCCATTTATAAGTAATATACGGAAAAACAGGAAATAAATTTTTTAAAATTTCCTTCTAGATACTAGCTTTTGATATCATAAACAAGATTCTGTCCAAGTGTGGTACAAATCCAGGATAGTTTAAGAAAGTGATTAAAATTTGAGAAAAACTTTATCCACAGAGTGAATGTTATGTTAACTGGCAGAAAAACAAAGTCCATGTATGAGTAAATTACGGATAAACAGGATTTTTATTTTACAAAATGTTCTTCTGGATACTATCTAATGATTATAAACAAGCTTCAGTCCAAGTTTGGTACAAATCTAGGATAGTTTAAGAAAGTTATTAAAATTTGAAAAACTTTAACCACAGAGTGAATGTAATGTTAACTGGCAGAAAAACTAAGTCCATTTATGAGTAAAATACAGATAAACAGGATTTTTTTTTACAAAATTTACTTCTGGATACTATCTTATGATCATAAACAAGCTTCTGTCCAAGTTTGGTTGAAATGCAGGATAGTTTAAGAAAGTTAGTAAAATTTCAAAAACGTTAACCACAGAGTGAATATTTGTGGACGTCGACGCCGCCGATGCCGATTGAATGTAGGATCGCTATGTCTCGCTTTTGCGACAAAAGTTGCAGGCTCAACAAAAGTGCTTATTTGGGCCCCTTTTGGGCCCCTTAGTCCTAAACTGTTAGGACTTTAACCCCTAAAATCAATCCCAACCTTCCTTTTGTGGTTATAAACCTTGTGTATAAATTTCATAGATTTCTATTCACATTTACTAGTTATTGTCCGGAAACCACGACGACGTGATACACATATATGACCACAAAATTTTTTGCGGTCGTATAAAAACAGAAATTCCAGCATATCACAGTCTTCAAGCACAATGTTTAGATTTCAAATTTTGAACTCAAAATTTTGCCAACACATGGAAATACCCACTACTAACATATTACTGACTTTAAAACAAAAATAAAAACATGGTTTTTTTTTCCACATTTAATTATAACTCCCCCCTACAAAACCTTTATATTGTCCAAATGGATTGGGATATCTATCCCTGATGCGCCACATACAGCAGCTCGGTATAACACGCCGATCTCCAGCCAGAGTCTGCCATGTACCCAGACAATATTCTGCCTATATGCAGCATATCAATTGGACCTGTTGAAGTCCTCTTCCTGAGGCATGATAAGAAGCTCCTTCCTAAGCCTTCTTGCAACAGAAAGCACTGCCTCATCCAGGACTATCAAAAAGAAGTCCTGAAAAAAAAAATAGATATCCATGTGAATTTTATATTTTATCCACATCATACATTACATAAACAGTTAATAATGATTTTGTATTTGTAACTAAAAGAAGGTCACCACAGTTAAACATTGTCCAAATGATTGGTCATCCTCTGATTACCATGACAGAACATCATTAATGTATTTATCAAATAACCTCCCCAAAAGCAACTATTTCTTTCTGTAATGATTTAAAACCGACCCCCCCCCCCCCCCTCCCACCCCAGGCAAGTAAAGAAAAAGGTCTAACACCTCTATTTGAAATAGAAAATAAACATTTTCTTTAAATATTTTTGAAACAATGGACTAGAAGTAAAAAAAATAAACTGCTTCGCTGAGCGCAGCTGGATACGCCCGCAGAGGTCCAACCCTGAACAGTTGGGGCAAAAATGGACACAATATTCATGCTTGATACAGGTCTGAATTTGGATTGTAATTAAATATTTGATATTATTATAGGTTTCTGAATATATGTAGTCAAAGAACTTGAAATTGGTTATATGAAAGATTTCTTGCTGTTGTGCAATACACTGCGCTGTTGCGCAATACTTAGTAAATCTGTTGTCAGACTATAAAAAAATTAAAATCTTATAACTCGGAAACGTAAAATCGAAAATTTATAGAAATCAAAAGGGAGCTTACAAAAATAGATATAAACAATTTATCAAAGTTTCAATAAAAATGCTGAAAGCATTTTTGAGGTATTGTCCCAAAACTGGAAAATCCCCATTTCGTAATGAATAAAACCCCATAAATCGGAAAGGTATAGTCTGAAATTTATAAAAATCAAAAGTGAGCTTATGTCAATAGAAATAAACAATTCACCAAAGTTTTTTGCAAATTGGTGAAATTGTTTTTGAGTTATTGTCTGAAAACTGGAAAATCCCCCCTTTTTTTAATGAATAAAACCCCAAAACTCGGACACGGTAAATTCACTATATATAAAAAACTAAAGGGAGCTCACGTCAATAGATATGAACAATTCAAAAAAGTTTCATGTAAATTGGTGAAATTTGTTTTGAGTTATTTTCTGAAAACTGGAAAATCTCCCCTTTATTAATGAATAAAACCCCAAAACTCGGAAACGGTAAATCCGAAATTTATAAAAAACGAAAGGGAGCTCACGTCAATAGATATGAACAATTCACAATAAGTTTCATGCAAATTGGAGAAATTGTTTTTGAGTCATTGTCCGAAAAACTTGAAAATCCCCCCTTTTTTAATGAATAAAACCCCAAAATTCGGAAATGGTAAATCTGAAATTTATAAAAAACGAAAGGGAGCTCACGTCAATAGATATAAACAATTCACTAAAGTTTCATGCATATTGGTTAAAGCGTTTTTGAATTAATGTCCGACATGTTGACGACGGACGGACGGACAGACGGACGGATGGACAGACGGACGGACAGATGGACGGACGGACAGACGGAGGGACAGACAGACAGACGGACAACAGTATACCATAATACGTCCCGTAAACGGGCGTATAAAAATTTGCAAAAACAAATAATATTTGAAGAAATTTTCTTTTTTAATTTCTGAAGTTTGAAATGAGAAATAAAATGCTCCGCAGGGCGCAGCTTGATACGACCGCAGAGGTCGAACCCTGAACAGTTGGGGCAAGTATGGACACAACATTCAAGCTTGATACAGCTTTGCATTTGGATTGTGATTAAATATTTGACACAGCATAGGTTTCTGACACAGAATGAATGTGGTCTAAGAACTTAAAAATTTTTAAATTGGACATTCACCTATTATGGTCCAATATCCAAAATCTAAATACATGGTTAGATTCAGCATATCAAAGAACCCCAAGAATTCAATTTTTGATGAAATCAAATGAAGTTTAATTTTGGACCCTTTTGACCTCAATGTGGACAAAGTTGATAACGGGGCCCAAAAATCAAAAATCTAAATACATGGTTAGATTCAGCATATCAAAGAACCCCATATATTCAATTTTTGTTGAAATCAAACAAAGTTTAATTTTGGACCCCGATTTGGACCAACTTGAAAACTGGGCCCATAATCAAAAATCTAAATACATGTTTAGATTCAGCATATCAAAGAACCCTAAGAATTCAATTTTTGTTAAAATCAAACTAAGTTTAATTTTGGACCCATTGGACCTTAATGTAGACCAATTTGAAAACGGAACCAAAAATTAAGAATCTAAATACACTGTTAGATTCGGCATATCAAAGAACCCCAATAATTCAATTTTTGATGAAATCAAACAAAGTTTAATTTTGGACCCTTTGGACCTCAATGTGGACCAATTTAAAAACGGGGCCCAAAATCCAAAAACTAAATACACGGTTAGATTCAGCATATTAAAGAACCCCAAGAATTCAAGAATAAAACCCCATTGAAATTGGTCAAGAAATAAGCAATTTATATGAAGTATCTTCTTTTGCACAATACTGTGCAATTAAATATTTCTTGCTATTAATTGCGCAATACTGTACAATTGACAATTTCTTGCTATTGCGCAATATTGTGCTATTGGATATTTCTTGCTATTGCGCAATACTGTGCAATTGAAGATTTCTTGCTATTGCGCAATACTGTGCAATTGAAGATTTCTTGCTATTGTGCAATACTGTGCAATTGAAAATTTCTTGTTATTGCACAATACTTATTATATAATAATTTACACATCCTGTTTGGTGTGTATCTCCTACCATATCATTATTATTTGCTTTTAAATATAAATCAGAAATAACCAACCTAAATGGAAAATTTTAAAAGAAAAAAAAAAGGAAAAAAAGAAAAAAAAGGAAAAAAAAAAAAAAATCCCCCCCCCTCAAATTTTTTGAACCCCCTTATGATTCATCACCCCCAAACTCAATCCCAGCCTTCCCTTTGTGGTATGGTACCTTGCAGTACAATTTCAGAGAGATCCATACACTTGAACACAAGTTATTGTCTGGAAACTAGAAAAATGCTTATTTTTGGCCCCTTTTTGGCCCCAAATTCCTAAACAATTAGGACAATTACCCCCAAACTCAAACCCAGCTTTCCCTTTGTGATATGGAACCTTGTAGTACAATTTCAGAAAGATCCATACACTTACACACAAGTTATTGTCCTGAAACGAGAAAAATGCTTGTTTTTTGCCCCTTTTCTGCCCCTAATTCCTAAAATATTGAGGCAATTACCCCCATCATCAATCCCAGCCTTCCCTTTGTGGTATGGCACCTTGCAGTACAATTTCAGAGAGATCCATACACTTGAACACAAGTTATTGTCTGGAAACTAAAAAAATGCTTATTTTTGGCCCCTTTTTGGCCCCCAATTCCTAAACGTTTCGGCAATTACCCCCAAACTTAGTTCCAGCTTTCCCTTTGTGATATGGAACCTTGTAGTACAATTTCAGAAAGATCCATACACTTACACACAAGTTATTGTCATGAAACTAGAAAAATGCTTGTTTTTTGCCCCTTTTTTGGCCCCTAATTCCTAAAATTTTGAGGCAATTACCCCCAAAATCAATCCCAGCATTCCTTTTGTGATATGGAACCTTGTGGTACAATGTAAGAGAGATCCATACACTAACACACAAGTTATGTCTGGAAGTTACAAAAATGCTTATTTTTGGCCCCTTTTTGGCCCCTAATTCCTTTACTGTTGGTACCATAACCCCCAAAATCAATCCCAACCTTCCTTTTGTGGTATTGAACCTTGTGGTAAAATTTCATAGAGATCCATTCACTTAAACTAAAGTTAGAGTGCGAAAACCAATGTGTCTTCGGACGACGCCGGACGACGCCAGACGACGACGACGACGACGACGCCAACGTCATACCAATATACGACCACAAAAATTTTTTTGCGGTCGTATAAAAATTGCTCCCCCACACAATTTCTTTTTTAACCCCTCCCCCCTCCCCCCCCAATTTTTTTTCACCTCCCCCCGTTTCCAAAAAAAAAATTATTTCCCTCAAGATATGGTCATAATCTCAATTCAAATTTCCAATGGAGTTTGCAACCATAATTACCAATTGAATACATCATATAAGTCTTAAAAATAGAAAATGACATACATAATCATGACTAAAATTAATATTCCTTTAATAGTAACTTCTAAAAATAAATTGACAGCTAATCACCTCAAGACAATACATTTCTTTTTATATAATTTAAGAGCGTAAAGTGTAAGGGAGGTAATCTAAACATACACAGCATTGTACTTTAAATGTGTTTGGATTACCTCCCTTACACTGCTTTTAAATTGTCCATTAACCAGGAAACCCTTGTTTTTCCCCCATTTTTGCCCAAAATTCCTAAACATTTTGAGCCATAACCCTCCAAAGTCAATCCTAACCATCCCTTTGTGGTATGGAAACTTGTGGTTTAACTTCAGAGAGATTCATACACCGTTCCACAAGTAATTGTCTGGAAACTAGAAAAATGCTTATTTGGGCCCTTTTTTGGTCCCAAATTCCTAAACTGTTAGGACCATAACCCCCAAAATCAATCCCAACCTTCCTTTTGTGGTTATAAACCTTGTGTTTAAATTTCATAGATTTCTATTTACTTATACTAAAGTTATTGTCCGGAAACCAAATGTCTTCGGACGACGACGACGTGATACCAATATACGACGGCAAATTTTTTTGCGGTCGTATAACAAGTGCAAAATGGTGATTAAGAAAACCAACCTCAATGAAATGACCGAAATTATTTATGTAAAAAAATAAAATTTGTCCTAAATCCCAATTTTTCGTTTAGGACAAATAGCTCTCAGTTTAGGTCATGACTGGCAAATATGACCTTTTCCGGACCCCTGATGTTCTGCATTCTTGTTCAAGTGTATTTATTTTCGCAAAATTCGTAACTAGAGGCTCTAAAGAGCCTGTGTCGCTCACCTTGGTCTATGTGCATATTAAACAAAGGACACACATTATAAGAATAGAATTCATGACAAAATTGTGTTTTGGTGATGGTGATGTGTTTGTAGATCTTACTTTACTGAACATTCTTGCTGTTTACAATAATCTCTATCTATAATGAACTTGGCCCAGTAGTTTCAGAGGAAAATATTTTGTAAAATTTACGAAAAATTGTGAAAAATTGACTTTAAAGAGCAATAACTCAAAAAGGGGTCAATTGACAATTTTGATCACGTTGACTTAATTGTAGAGCTTATTTTGCTGAACAATTGTGCTGTTTCAGTTTATCTCTATCTATTATAATATTCAAGATACCGGGGTAATTACCAAAAACTGCAAAATTTCCTTAAATGTACCAATTTAGGGGCAGCAACCCAAACAAGGTTTGTTTTATGCGTCTGAAAATTTCGGGGCAGATAGATCTTGACCTGATGAACAATATTACTCTACTCAGATTTGCTCTAAATGCTTTAGTTTCTGAGATATAAGCCAAAAACTGTATTTTACCCCCATGTTCTATTTTTAGCCATGGTGGCCATCTTGGTTGATGACAGGGGTCATCAGATACATTTTTTATACTAGATACCCTAAGGATGGTTCAGGCCAAGTTTGGTTTAAGTAGTTTAAGAGGAGAAGATTTTTTTAAACTTTAAGGGACGACGACAGACGACGGACGCCAAGTGATGAGAAAAGCTCACTTGGCCCTTTTGGGCCAGGTGAGTTAAAAATTATTATACACTGTGAAAAAAGTACATATACATTAAATTGTACTTTAAAACTGGTAAAACTATTTGATATTTGGGTAGAATGAAGCATTAGTCTAAATTTCTGTCATTGAATTTTCTATCTGAAATGACATTCATGACAATAGCCAAATCAAACACGAATGAAAAGGAAATGACCATTTTTACAGTCAAAGAAGTTATAAAGCATGATAATTTGATAGATGTGATTAAGAAAGAAATTTATGAAAACATATATTAAAGATGTACCATTATTTGTGCAATACACGCTGTGCTGTTGCGCAATACTTAGTAATTCTGTTTTCAGACTATATACAAAGAATTAGCAAAATAAATTGTGACCCCCAATTCTTTTCCCCAAAAAAATTTTTTTTACCCTCCCCCCCACCCCCCCCTTTCCAAACAACTTAATTTTCTTTTTGTAAAATGTGGTACAAATTAAGAGACATCCATACACTTAAACACAAGTTAATGTCTGAAAACTAGAAAAATGCTTGTTTTAGACCCTTATTGGCCCCTAATTCCTGAACGGTTTGGGCAATTACCCCCAAAATGAATCCCAACCTTCTACTTGTGGTATTGAACCTTGTGGTACAATTTCAGAGCAATCCAAATACTTATACACAAAGTTATTGTCCTGAAACTAGAAAAATGCTTGTTTTGGCCACTTTTTGGCCTCTTATTCCTAAACGGTTGGGACCATCACCCCCAAAAACAATCCCAACCTTTCTTTTGTGGTATTGAACCTTTTGATTAAATTTCATAGAGATCAATACACTTAAACTAAAGTTATTGTCCAGAAACCAAATGTCTTCGGACGACGCTGACACCGATGACAATGTGATACCAATATACGACTGCAAAAATTTTTTGCGGTCGTATAAAAAATGTGGGTATTTTTTCCCCTAAATTAAATAAATCTCTAGTATTTTTCCTTAGATTTTAAACTTTGTGTACATAAATTTAATATTGCGTGGTGCTAAATTATTGCACATACATATGTATGTGGTGTTCCATTATTGAAAGGATTTACATGCAAAAGAAGAAGAGACTACAACTGGAAACTACATATACTATTGGTATCGGTATCGGATTCAGATTCTACCCGGAACTCAATTGTTAATTATTGGTTATATTAATTATGTGGAAAACAAAAGGGCCTGGAATGGTGTAATTTTTAATCAACACCATTGTCCTATAATATTTATATATAAAGTTGAATTCTTTGATTTGTTGTTTTTATGTCATGCCGGCTAACAAATTGGATCTTGTTATTTTAGAAGTATGGATAAGGCCACACCAATTTGATTAATAGTTCTTTGGATTTTGCCGCTCCTGTTTTGGAGAAATTGACTTTTCAATTTAAAAAAATAATTACCGCTTCCACAAATTTTTGGTCTGCATGCCACTCCAAAATGAGTTTCTCCTTGAAATTTTTTTCTCATATAGACGTTTTTCTGATGCATATTATGCTCCTATCGTTTTAAACGCACGTATGATAAATCGATTTGTAAATAATAATTAAAACTAGAGGCTCTCAAGAGCCTGTGTCGCTCACCTGTATTTACTGATGCTTTGGAAATCATGTAAAATAAGGTTAAAATCATAATTAATAGTATTAGATATTAGATATTATAATGATATCTAAGATAATCAAAGTACTGAAGTACTGAACATCGGATGACTGCAGGTTCTTGTGGATGGTCAAAAGCACATGTCACAGAAACAGATCACATCTCTATACCTGAAACTGAGGTTAATTTACAGAGATTTTTTTTTCTTATACAAGTTCGTGCTTGGATGATGAATAAATGACAGGAAATTCAACCTCACCGTAATAACTATTATATTGTAGTGATACAAATCAGTATACCTTAGACTATTATACTAATATAATAATAGTTCCAGAGAATACACTGGTTTGTTGTTATATATTATATTAATATTACGGTTGCATGTATATATAATTTTCATCTATTTGTATATCATACTATTCTACTATTATTATAGTGTAATGCAAGTGCATGCTGGACACTCTTCTGTAAAAAAAAATCAAAGTCTTAAAGGCTGTAAAAGCAATTGCTGCCATGTTAATGTTTTGTGGACTTTCATTTTTCATCCATATATATAAGAATTAAACCTGACAGGACAGGAGTGTTGACTAGTGAGAAGCAAGACGGTTTTAACTTTATATCAATATAAGACTTTAGCAGGAAATCATTTTAAATATGTTTTATATTTTACAAGGAGACAACAAGTTTACTAGGCTAAAGTTGGGGTTAATTATACATGTGCTGAAACATATAACTGAAAAAAAAATCATTATGGATTATCCCCTGGTAGTGTTTGTAACTGGGCAATAATTTCCTTTATTGATTTAATTTTAACCATTTTCATAATTAATTTAAATTAACCATTCAGTTAAAACATTTCAACTTTCCAGACGCTAATGTTGAAAAACGGGACAGAAATAAAATATCTTACAAGACATAAACATGTAAAAAATAAATATATATTTCAGCTTACTAAAAATATTTTCATAATGTTACTTTGACATCATTTCTTAAAACTAAGTCCCAAACATAATTGCTCAGTTGACATGTGTCATCCTCATGCGATACGAGATAACTATAATTCTGATGCAATCCCGAAAAGGGGGGTCATCACAAACAAACATGACATTAAATTGTCATTATACGAACTAGAACAAACAGCTCTATGTTGCTTTGATATTTATCAATTTTCAGGAAACATGTGAAATAAATTTCAGGTCCATTTCATTATAGTGCCTAACAAGATTGTGTGAGGTAGACGAAATTGACCTTAAAACGATCGTATTGTCTTTTGATGTCCAAGTATAGGCAGATCGGACATATACGGACTTTATCTAATGACTACATAAATTTGGGATTTATTATTATTATAATATTCTAATGAAACTGAAAATTGTATTTTTTTTTAGGATAAACAACAATTTTACCTGGCGTAGCCGTTCATAAATGTTTTTCTGCATTTATCTTCGAAAAATGGCGTATTTAATGGAATAGAACGTTAATACAGTAAACTTTCTCTTTTTTCTCCGCAATAGGCTATCAAAAATAATTTATCTAATGTGTATGTGGAAAATTATGTGAAAAGATAAAAAGTGGCAATTGTTACCTTTCATACCTTAAGTTTCGTTCATCTGATTCTGACCAATGCTTATATACTA